TTGAGGGGCTGCCACAGAGAGGAGGGGGTCAAGCTATTTTCAAAAGCACCCAAAGACCAGACAAGGAATAATGGATGGAAACTGACCAAGGAGAGATTCAACCTAGAAATAAAGAGGAATTTTCAGACAGTGAGAGCAATCAACCAATGGAACAGAAGTTGCCTTCAGAAGCTGTAGGAGTTCCATCACTTGAGACTTTCAAGAAGAGATTGTCATTTGTCTCCTGCTTGGACTAGATGACCTATATGGTCCCCTCCAACTCTGTTAATCTGTTAATGCTTACTTGAACGTGGGACTCTGAAAATGACTATAAATTTGAGTCAGTTGGCAACAACTCCACATGTGGTCACTCAATTACCGGGGGCAGCTACCAGAATATCGAATCTGGGTTATAAGTACTTTTGTGGGGAGTTCATTGTAATTTCAAACAGTTGCTAAGCAACGGTCGTAAGTCAAGGATTACCTGTCTCAATACAGGTAGTCCTTGACTTATGACCACAATTGAGCTCAAAAATTTCTGTTGTTAAGTGAGACATTTGTTAAGTGAGCTTTGCCCCGGTTTACGGCCTTTCTTGACGCAGTTGTCAAGTGAATCACAGCAGTTGTTAAGTTAGTCACATGGTTGTTAAGGGAATCCTGTTTCCCTTTTGACTTTGCTTGTCAGAAGGTCGCAAAAGGGGATCATATGACCCGAGGGACGCTGCAACCGTCATAAATATGAGCCAGTTGCTAAGCATCTGAATTTTGATCACGTCATCATGGGATCCTGCAAAGGTTGTAACTTTCAAAAAACTGTCCTTAGACACATTTTCCAGAGCCGTTGTAACTTTGAACAGTTACTAAACTAAGTGTTGTAAGTTGATGATTACCTGTGCAGCAGTGGTGGGTTCCAGATCCTGTTCCAAACAGTACGGTTGGAACGGGCCCGGGGTCGCCCACATGGACGCGTGCGGCATGCACGCAAACGCACGCAGCGTGCGCATGCGTTGTACCTGCCTGCAACACCTCCGCAAGCCTCCATGACGCTCCAGCTGCTCAGCGGAGCATTGCGCAGGTGCCATATGCGCCATGCGCGTGCGTGGAAGCGCCAAAGGCTTAAAGGACAGGTAAGGAGCTCGGGCAGGTGGGTGGGNAGGTGGCCAAAGAATTTGAGTTTCCTCTTCAGGATCTGGCCTTCTAAAGAGCAGTCAGGGTTGATCTCCTCTAGGATTCACTGGTTAGATTGCCTTGCAGTTCAAGGGACTCACAGGGGTCTTCTTGTAGCCATAGGGATATCAGCTGTAGTGAAACTTTTCATCAAAGTCAAAGTTTATCCCTTTTGGGACATTAATGCTATATTGATGTTTTTCCAACTCTCTAGCATCCTTCCTCCTTATAGGATAGAGTTTGTCATATTTTATAATGATCGTAAAAGTTCATAATGATAACAGAAACTGATACATGTCTATGGAGATTCTCAGTTATCCAGGTTTATGCTTGTCCCAATGGTATTTTTTTCAAGAAGCAACAATGCTTATTTTGTTTTTCTTTGAAGATGTTTTGCTTCTCATCCAAGAAGCTTCTTTAGTTCTTTGAGACCGAAGAAGCTTCTTGGATGACAAGTGAAACGTCAACAAAGAAAATCCATTTGCTTTTTGAAAAAGTTTCTTTGGGACAAAAAAATGACAATTATTCTGGCCTAGGAATCTTTCCTAATTTAATATTTTTATAACTTCAAAAGTTTCCCTATTTTTATAAGTCCCTTCATCATCTCTCCCTTTGTCTCTATAATCCTCTGTAGATTTCATTTCTTCAAATTGTCATCTTTTTTCTCCAAAGCAATGTCGCTTCCTTTCTACAAATTGGAATAATATTGATGAATGTGCCTTTTGTAGGTCTACATTGACGATTAATACAGTATCTCCTTTTTGTAATTTTAATACCATTTCTTCTCTTTTCATGTTTTATGTGCTGGCTGTTTCCTTGGTTTATACGCAAACTCAGTTTTTTGTTTTTTTGTTTTGCTTTACATAATTCATTTTTATCTCCTTTGCTCTTAACTGTTAATGCAGATAATTGCTTTCTAAAAGCTTTAATTTGTTGGGCAATATCTATCTTCTCTGGGAATTTCTTTAATTCTTCTTCTTTGAAGTCCAAATCAAGTCTGCTCTTGAAAAGAATCTGTGCCTGTCGGAAAAATAGATCTATACTCTGGAATTGCCATATCAACCAGCCCTAAATTGTCCATCATATCAAAGGAAGCATTTGGCATTTTGCCCTGAGTGATTTTAATATTTTTCTCAGGAGTTCTGTCCAAATATGTTTCTAGCAAAAAAAACATGCTAAGTTGCATTAACAGAGGGATACAATCAAGATCAAGTGAGGTACTAATATCACTCTATAAAGCCCT